GCTTCAAGTATCAGCGGCATCCGGTGCCGGGTGCCTCGCCGGCTCCATCGACAGAGTTGGCACAGGAGCATCCGGCTGCGAGGGCTGACGAGACCGCCTCCGATCAGATGGAAGTAGATGCTCACGTGGACGAAACCACAAGAGCACCTATGAAAATCGAGAGGAAAAAGACATCAAAGTCCCCGGTCGAAAAGGACTCTGTAGAAAACGTCAGAACGAAAGATCGCCGACTGGACAAGTCGGCGGTCTCCGAGACAAGAGGAGAAAATAGCGGCAACAGCAGCAGCGACATCATCGAACAGCCGACCAAGAAGTCAGCTGTTGTCAAAGGAACAGCTGAGAACGACGATCTCAGCCAAGCGCTGATGCCACCGGGAACTTCCGAGCGACGCAGGAGGATGAAACGCAGGCCACCTGCAATCTTCCTCTACGGCTTGAATGACAAGGCTAGCGCGACCAGTGTATTAGAATGGTTTACGCATAAAGGAAGCAAACCAAAGAGAGTCTCTAAACTAAAAGTGGAAAGAGGCGGATCATCCTTCTGTGTCAGCTTTAACCCGGCAGACTTCGAAAGATGTTTGAGTCCCGAATTTTACCCGAAGTTCATGAGGGTGAAGAAATGGAGTGGATTCTTCCCGGTATCTGAGAAGATCCTGGAAACTGCACCATCGAAGTGACTTACAAGCAGCGCCAACGGGAGAGCCTCGGCTACCCAGCACCGATTGCTTCTCTGGAATGTGGAGGGACTCAGAGGAACCCTCGGGCGAATCGAGGACGCTACAACTCTAGCGGAGCATCAGATACTATTATTCACAGAAACATTCAGTATAGAAGATGTGGAAATCCAAGGATTTCTAGGACATCATTCATTTGCAAGAACCAGAGAGGGTCCGGGTAGACCAGAGGGTGGAGTGAGCATATACACCAGCGCCTGCATACGACGTCCGAAGGTGATCCATCGGGAGGAGAATGTGTTGGTGCTGGAGACGTCTGACTTGACAATCGCCCTCTTCTACCTGAAACCAACCCTCACGTCCACCGAAGTAATGTCAACAGTGACACAGACGCTCAGATATATCGACACCCGAACGTTCACCGTGATTGCCGGGGATTTCAACTGTCGAATGGATAGCCAGGCAAAGGACTCGAAAGGATGCGTCCTGCGAGAATCTTTAGATGAGCTAGACTATACACTAGCCAATGACGCGGATGACGTGACGAATATCTGCTACAACGGATCGAGCACCATCGATCTCTTCTTCGTGTCACATCTTGACCGAGTGATTGCCTGCCAGGTAGTGGAGGCGCCAATTAAAAGCCATCTACCAGTGGTACTCAGCATCACCGCTCGGGAAACCCCGAAGAAGAAGGAGCTCAGACCGACTCGGCGCATGGATTACAATATTCTAGACGAAGAACAAGAGTCACGACAGATCTCAGGCAAGATGAGAACGGCTGACGTGAATCAAGCTGAACAAGAGCTAGTTCGCCTCGTTCAAAAAGCTCAACTTCTTCCTCGCCCGTACAAGGCGAAAAGAAGACCATGGTTCAACAAGGAATGCAAAGAGCGCAGGAGAGCGCTACTCCTGGCCTTACGGAAGGCGAAAATTGAAGGAGGGCCGTACCGAAGGGAGTACTGCTTTCTACGGAAACGGTACCATCATCTAGTTCAGCATCGCAAGAGCGAGCACCGCGAGAAGCAACATGAGAAAATGTTAGCTGAAGCGAAAAAGAAAACCCACATTCTACTGAAAAAATGTCGGAAGAAAACGACATGTACCGCGAGTACAGAAGAGATAACTCGACACTTCAAGAATTTACTTTTCGAAGAAGATATTCCCCCGCCAGCCGCGCAAATCACTCTGCCGCTCACGTTAGAGCAATGGTTGATGAACGCGCCGTGGACAGAGAAGGAAGTTGAATTTATTCTAAATTCCCTACCAATGAGAAAGAGCTGTGGACCTGATGGTATCTACTACGAGAACTGGAGGATGGGGGCAACCGCACTCGTGCCTTTGATAAGTTCTCTCTTCAACAAAATCATGGAAGAAGGATGCATTCCGGACACATGGCACATCAGCCGGCTGACTTTGCTATTCAAGGGTGGCAGGTCAGGTCCGAGAGATGACATGAATAAATTTCGAGGAATAGCCAGCGAAGCGACACTCAAGAAAGTGTTCTTCAAAGGCATCATAAGTAGACTCGAAACATCTATCGAGAACAGATTGCCTCCAGAACAATTCGGGTTCAGGAGAGGCGTGTCAACGAACGACGCAATTCACGTTGTGATGTCGGCCATCGAGAGGGGGCTGGCCCGTCGAAACCAGGCCCAACTCTACGGTGGGTTCATCGACTGCTGTAAAGCATTCGACAGTGTTCCGAGGCAGGCAATGGTAAATGCCTTCGCCGAGGCCGGAGTGAACGGACAGCTCCTGAAAATCATCGAAAGCTTCTTCTACACAGACACACTCATGGTGCGGACTGGGTCGGAGGATGTCATTGTGAGGCAGAACAGAGGCACGCCACAAGGCGACCCGCTGAGCTGTATCGCTTTCACACTCCTCCTAGCCGACCTGCCCGCGAGGGTCCGAGAGGAGTCGAAGGATGCGGTCATTTGCCTGTATGCGGATGACATTTTTGTGGCTCATCATAACGCCACCATGTTCAGGAAGGTCTTCGCCATCGTTGGTGAATACCACCGACAAATTGGATTAGATCTGAATCCGCAGAAGTCATGTGTTGTTAAACTCCGGAACGGAGGACGACTAGCTAAGACCGACAGGATGCACTGGAGAAGGGAACCGATCCAGTTCGTACCGAGCTCGAAGTATCTCGGCTTGCACCTCACCACCGCCGGCACGAGTTTCTCAGCTCACGTGGAGTTCGCGGCGGCGAGAGCAACGACAGCGATGGCTTCGGGTGTGGACAGGCCACGAGATCTCCCACTCGACATAGCGGATCGCCTCTTCAAAATGAAGGCCGTCCCGGTCCTGTCATACGGACTGAAACGAATATGGAAGCACCTCACAGTAGCCAACTTCAAAAGTTTGGAACGCTCCTACACGCTCTTCATGAAAAGAGTACTTTGTCTTCCCCCAACGTCCAAGTCACGTTATGTATATGTATTCACCCAGCGGCCGCCGATCACTGAAGAGCTACGGAGGCAACTGAGAGCCGAAAACACGCGGGCATTCGACTCCTTCGTCCATCAATGGAAGGAGAAAACCGATGCAGCAGCGAGGGAGGCGGAAGGTCTGCGAATATACACAGACAGGAAGCTCTGGGACGGCGCACTCAATAAGAGGCGACACATCTACACGAGGTTGATAGTTCATGGATTTCATCATCAATTCTGTACCAACACAACCTTCCACGAAGCGGACACGAATTGTATATGTACATATTGTCACATGTCATGCTGTAAATACCACGCGCTAGACTGCGCGGCATCTCATCCGTCGCTGACGGCGGTCGCACGAGCAAAATAGTGCAATGTTCGAAAAGAACGCTCAGAATAAATAAATAAATAAAGCTTCGCAATCACAGAGATTGCTTCTTTTTCATCCGGACCGAGCAAACAGTCGAAGGAGCCTGTCTTCATCAGAACTTCATTCAAGACTTCGTACGACGCGACGGCTGACTCGAAAAGTCGACAAACAGGAGCCCATCTTGTGGGCACGTCTCCTCTGAGACCCTTGGGATCATAGCCCGACAACGGTGGATCTTCTTCACTGTCATCTGTGAATCGCTCGTCCGCGTTTCCCGCCTGCGAATCATCAGGGGGATGAATTAAGATGAAATTCATCACGTGAAAAGAGTCGCACATTCCAGATCATAGAAATCCGATATCATAATGCTCACTATCTGAATTTCTTCAGCTCTTATCAAAACCTCGAGGTACTTCTCTTGGGCTTTTTCTTCAGCAAGACTAGCGACGAGGGTCTTCTTGAACATCAGACGACGATCATTTTCATAAGACTGCAACGCAGCTGAAGCACTCTCTTGCCAGCGGCGGTTTTATAAAAATCGGCCGTGAGAGCACGATGCATACGATGATCGGCGCATCGGATGTGAATGAATTCTTTCAACCCCCGAGTCATGTTGCTAGCAGAATCTGAGACTGCCGCGAACATGAAGCTTCCATTCAAATTGAAGTCTTTCAGGGTGGCCCTGATTTCTTCTGAGATAGCTGGACCCGTATGTGGGCCAGGGAAGAAATCGGTCTTCAGAGGAACGCACATCAACTCAAAGTTCTCGGTCAAATAATGCACGACGATAGCTATGTAGGGGAGCTGACGATAGCGGTCAGTCCAAGTGTCAGTCGACACGTGAAACGCGGAGTCCTTGGGGAGCTTTTCCATCACAATTTCCTTGAGTGTGTTGTAGACGTCATTCAGAGCGCCTCTGGAGATCGTACTGCGAACCGGCAAATCGGACAAAGTCGGAACGATACCCCGACGGACGAAGAATCTCTTGGCACCCGAGCCTTCGACGAACGAAAATGGTAGGAGGTCTTCGCATATCATGAGGGCAAGATCTCGTGCGAGGCCGAACTTCCTTGCTCTGTTCGAATCAGCCGGTTCTGCGTCAGCTTCATCGGTTACGGTCTTCTTCCAAGATTCGAGTAAAGTGTTTGATTTTCGAGCATCCGGTATCTAACCTTGGGATCACGGAGGTTACTTTGAAGTGAAACTTAATATTGTGTCAGTAAGACCGAGAAAGGAAGGCTCCATATCCTGAAGCTCAACGGCTTCGGAAAAATACCTGGATGATCCCGTGAAATATGATGTCGGAGCGTGTCTGTTCCAGTCACGTCACTGTATCCGAGGAGTTTGTTCTTCTTATCGAAACACAGTTTACAGAAAACCTTTTTTGGTTCCGCCAGAGAGCCGGAGGATGTAGTCAGACGCCCGAAAGCTCGCCAAACCTGGAGCATATTCTCTGATGAGCGCATGTGTAAGAAACGAAGCTATTCCCGCTCCCCTCGGAGTAAGGTTATCAGCCATAAGCACGACGCTAGACTGAATAGGATTTCACCTGAGAAAACCGCTCACCTTCGAAGGATATCTGATGGTATTTTGTTTATGGAGGACGATGGAGAACCTCTCTGCCGAAGCGAGTTCCCTTTTCGGTGGGGTTGTTCTGAGCGTCGAGTGAATTTATTCGAGATCGACCTCGAATCGGTTCGCAAAGTCACAAAGTTGAACACGACTCGGAGAGCGCTCTCGGGCAGATGTTCTACCGACAACTAGTCTTGAGTTAAATCTCTCAGTCCTCAGCGATCCTCACCACGGGATTCACTGAACTGGATACTACTGACTGAGGCGCGAGCCGCGATTGCAGCATCAGAATGGAAACAAGCCTCAAAACGGCTGCTCTCAGAGGAACGTGGATGATCATTACGAACGTGCACGTGTATTCGAAATGCGACCTTAAAGAGTATCATCAGCGCTCTCAAATGCAATCGAGGCGATTTTCTATTTTCCCGGGGGAATGCAAGAGCTGCGAATTTGTCAAAGGGGTTCATGTAAATTTTATTAAGGAGGATCATGTGGAGTTATCGGCTCGGGACTCGGGACGAGTTTCCGCGGGCGGAACGAACGACGAGGCGCCGCGGAAGATCGCCGCGGAAGATCGCCGGCGGCGGCGCGGCGGCGCGCCATGGTGAACATGCGGCTGGCGGCGGCGCGCCGAGAGTCTCGGCGGCGCAGCCCGCCGACGATTCTCCAACGCGGCGCACGGGCCTGGTCTCTACCCTTTTGACTTTTCCTCAAGGCCCCTATGGATAGCCACAGAGAGGGATGTTGCACACTGAATTCGGTCTGGATACGTCTATTGGCAGTTTCTGCATGGTCATTCGTTCGATGGCGCCCTTGTAGAGTCCGCTCGTAAAGATTCCATAAGGATATGCCGAAAAGAGCCGAACGGCGTTGACCAGGACGATTTGGTCTACCTAGGTAGGTATCTTCGAAATAATTGAGCACTGGCTCGAGATCTGGTGGCGCAACCGCGGATAGGTTTTCGAAAGCCATCTCTACATCTCCGGGACGGACGGAAGCTAAAGCAGCGATCATCTTGGCTGAGCAAGCGAAAATTGGATCGTTTTTGTACTTGGAGTTCAGCCCTGATGAGTGGATATGTTTCTTCAAATCCTGGATAAGGTGGAAATAACAGCCGGCAATATTCGCACTCGGGATGATTGCTCTGATGCTGATGATTACCGCAGCTTCAAAGTCGCAATGTGTGCTCTCCGGGCGAATGTCTCCTTCAAGACTTCGTATCATCGCAAACACACGGGTGTATGTCGTCTTCGTCTTGTTGGGCAGTAACTAGGCATGTCAAAGAACGCTTCTTTTGAGAACCGCGGTTCTCTGAGAACCGCGCCAGGAGAACCGCGGTTAAAAACCGCAAAGAACCGCGATTCCGCTACCAATCGATTTCTACTGTTTCTCTGCAAATTTTCGACGCTCTCGCCTCCTCAGAGGAGATGTCCGTGCGTGAATGAATAGCAAAATGTATCGCTCCTAGGATGAAGTCTCTTTCAATGGATTTCATGACGATTCAAGCCACACTATTCGGCCCGAACTTGATTCCTTCCGCACATTTCACAAGCCTTTGTTTTCGTATGCTTTCCGCAGCATGAATATGCTGTCCAGCGTGCTCGGTTTCAGCTTCGCGCGGTTCTCTCCTAACAGCAGGCGAACAATACTAAAATCGCGCTCCGGCCGGACCGAGGTTGGCGGAACAGCCGATAAAATCTTGCGGCATAAAGTGAGGAGATAGAGGAGTTGGAGGCCTCAACCCCGTCCTGATCGACGTCACGGAGCTATCGAATCGCAGTACTTATCAAATTCGAAAGGAAGAGATGCTATAGGATGGAGACGATGATCGTCTTTATTCGCGATTTCCATCCTTGACAGGCACAAACTCAGAACTTGCAATTGTTCGCAACATCTACTTTTCACGTGAAATTCTCGAACGATGTCTTTCCTAGGTTTATCGGGACTCATCCGATGCGTCCGACGGTTTCTCACTCTCGAGCAGGGAACCTCTGGTGGCCTCCACGACCCACAACAAACAAAGGCAGCTGCCAAACACTTTTCCCCGCTCTCGCCAACGTATCTCTTCGCACTTCGGGTGCACGAAGCCTCGCTCTGCGCGCCGCGAAGGATCCCCGGCTGATACGTCGAAGACCATCGATATATCCATAGGCCTGCGTACCAATA